CTCATGCTAGCAATGCCATGAATAATAAAATGTTTGTCTCTGACCCAGGACTATTGTGTCTTCCACCTATTCATGAAACAGTAACAGGTTAACTTATTAGCTTATAACTGGGGTAAAGTCTCAAACAGATACTGCATTTCCTTGTTAATATAGGTGACTGTTATTTGTATCTACCAACCATTGAAACTTTAATCATGCACTTTTGTGACTAGATTAATGTTCCTCTACAGAAACTTGATGTAATATTAAAGTGATCCAGATATATGTTTTCAATATAGAATATAATTTTTGGATATCTGTTACAGAATCTACCTTTTTGCCAATGTTTAATTCTTCTCAAATGGTTAGACCGATAGGTCTAGTATAAGCATGCAGCCTTGCTATAGCTTTAAGACTTAGCTACTTTAAAGAGTAGATATTCCTCTGAGATTTTTTTATGAATATAAAAAATGATATTCCCCTGAGATTTTTTTTATGAATCTAACATGCTAATGTTCGATTAACAAAGGAGTTTTATAATTTCATTGGGTACTTCAATCAAACACTAAAAATGATTAATTACTTTGAAGGCAATGCAATATTCAAAATGAATCTTGGTTATTAAAATCATAGGCTATATTTTAGTTGATACATTAAAAACCAAAAAGAACTTTCTAGATGACTACTGTATAAAAGTAGAAGCCATTTGTTTTTATCAATTGGTAAAATCAATTGCTCAAACTGATTTTATTAATCTAAAATACTTACTCAAATTTCAAGAAAATTGCAAAGAAAACTTTCTGGAAATGCCCTCTTTAAACTTAGCATAACCAAGGATCAGTTACCAATGTAAAAAGTTTTAAAAGTCATTTAGCAAAGAAGAAACTTTTCATTTTAATTGAAGCTTTCATTTGAACTAAAGTTGTACTCCTAGATAAAATGTTAGTGTGCCTAGTCCCAAATTTCTCATAAACTCTCATTTTGTAAATGTTACAAGAAGGCATATGAGTCTTGGCTTGAATTCTCCTCTGACGGATTTCATATGGTTGAATTTGTATCCTGTCAAGTATTTACAAAATTAATATATGTAGAGAGTCATGTGCACAATTAATACAAAATGCATTTCCAAGAGGGATATAATTGTACACATCCCTCCAGGAGAATGAGTTTATTGGAAGAAACACCACTCAGCATTAGGACTATGCTATAAAAAGTCATTTGATTATTTTCATCACAAAGAATCTGTTTGAGGTCTATGAAAAACACTAGAGAAGACATGCTTCTAAGGATAAAAGTGTCTAGGGTCCTATAATCTGGACATCCAGACCCATGTTAAATCTGACCCAGAGGCTTAGTAAAAAGCCTTCAGAAGCAGACAACTTCCAGTAGACATATTCCTCAAAGATTCTATAGATCAACAAGATGACATTAAAAGTATAATCAGTCATCTGTAACTTTCACTGAAGATATTTCAGGTAAAACTTCATGATCAGAAAAACATGCCCTCACTTTGATTCTGTTTTATTTCTTGGATATGCTGCCTTTTCTCACTGTTTTCATTTTGTCTTAGTTCAAGGTATTAGGCCATGAAAATGGAAATCCTAATCATTTTTCTCATTTTCTTGACTAATTTCCTTCTGATAAACCCTGTGAACTCATTGCAATTTTCCAGAATGTTACTAATATTAAAACATCTAGATGCTATGGCTAAACTACAGGTCCTCAAAATTAGCTGTAGTCGCTGACATTTCTTATAGCCTCATGAGAAAGACAATGGAATATGGAATTAATGATAAATAATGACCAATTATTTTCTCATAAAGCTACATAGAAATCATTGCATAATTTTTCTAAACTTCAGCCTTTTCTGAATACAAAATTAATTAAATTCAGGTGGCATATGATAAATAGTAGTGACTATGAAAAACATTCTTGTGTCTCCACAATATATACTCTTACAATTATTATTATTATGAAGAAATCATGACTTTTCTATAATCATATTTAAACATAACCATTGTTTTGAGCACAATATTCTGGCCTTTCCATATACTAAAACAAACCATCCAGTTGCTCATATTTTATTGAATCAATTTGGTAATTTATACAGAGGGACTCAAGACATCAGAATTTACTATATATGCGTACATGTATACATATATGCTTCATTTTGTATGTGCATGTGTGAGTGTGTTTGTGTGTGTGTGTGTGGGTATTTCTGCCTTATCCATGCTGTTTCCCAACTAACATATGTGATCCATAATTTATCCTTGATTATGGTCTACGTAGTAAACAAAGCACCTCAGGTTTTAGAAATTCAATGGAATAGCAGCAACGTATTGACTATGATAGTCCTAAATGATAGATAATTGGCAATTTAATGTCCTTCCAAGAGAAAATCTTTATAATACCTGAAATATCTTGAACTTGAATAAACATTAGGTAAGTAAGATTGATTTAATTGATCTTGGGAGTTATTTTTCTTGTTAAGCTAAACCCAAGAAAAACTTAGATACTAGGCGAACTCCAAATTTTTCTTAAAATACTTGAAATTATTCCCAAACTTTAATGTTTTTTAACCCTCCCATTATCTTGATTCTTATATCTTGCTTCAAAGCCGTAACCCTGACCTGACATTCAATTCATAATATGGTGTTGAAGAAAAAAATAAGACCTCTATAGGAAAAATCAGTTCATCTAGGAGCTGGATTTTAACCAAAGAAAACAGGAACCTAAGATATAGTTTAAAGGGATATTATGCAATCTGTTTCAGTAGAAGAAGTGACACATGATACCTGGACACAACTTGTCCCAACAGAACTGTCAGGCCTTTTCAGATAATCTAGAAATAACTGAAAGTTTTCTCTGTTGACTGTCCCAGAGACTGATCCCTTAGTGTTCCTCTTGTCAGTCTGTTATACTCGGGAAAAAGAAAACTAAGTTCACTTTTCAGACTAACTTGTTTATTTTAATGCCCCCTGCCCTTTTGCTTTATAAATTCAATTTTTATCTCTGTTTGATAACAATCTATTGATTGTTCTTCCACATATATTAAACTTGCTTGTTAATAACCGAACTGACTTGGAGTTTTGTGACAACATAAAAATGTAGTGTACAATACGGTTGGATTTAATATCAGTAAGACAAGTGTAGTCTATTTAATTTTTATTTGGGGACAAATGTCTGTTTTTTTGTTTTGATAGAACTAATATTAGACTTCTACATCCTGCAATTTGGATATATAAATTAAAGGTGAATTTTATAATTTCACATATACTTGTTCAGAAGAAAACAGAAAAATATGATAAACTTTCAATACAAATTAGAGATCTTCATGTTATCTGTCCCACCAATTAGAAAAAATTCATAAACTTAAATGGGACGTTGAGTGGACTGCCTCAATACATTCTGCTACAATGTGTATCTAAGACAAAATGGTAGCTAAAGAAAGAGATAAAAAGGGTTACTGTGCATGTAATGAAGGACAACTTTTAGCATTTAATAATAGATTTAATCTGAGAAATCACACATCAAAGTTAAGATTTGTATTCACAAACTTGATGATTGAAGGTATTGTGAATCTCACTCTATTTGAATATAATGGCAGAGTGAAGAGATTATAAACCAGACTGAAATATTACTTAAATATGACTCTGCCATCTGCATGCAAATAACAGTTATTTTTTACATTCCTCTTTTTTATTTTTTTAAGGCCAGAAATTAAATATTTATACATGTAAGAACTTGTTATTTTCCCTTAACTCTCCAAGAGTATTTTTATCTGGTTTTATTAGAATAATACAGTATCCTGGGAGAAAAGATACAGCCTAGCACCCAAAACTGGAAGTCAAGATGGAGAGTATCTCCAAGGCAACATGGTTGCCTGCTCTTTGGTGCTGTGTTACACAGATAGGAAGGTAATCCAAACAGTACAGAACATCAGCATGCTAAACATCAAGAACTTCATTGAAGGTGTCAAGCAGGCTTTTGGCCAGGAAAGCCAAGATGAAGCTCCCCAGTGCCGAAAAGATCAAGGACCCCAGAACAGAGTGGAAGGCAAAGACAGAGACCTGAAGGCACTCAATGATGAGGTATTCATGCTCAGAGTGTAGGATCGATATTAACAAACAGAGGAGAGATTCTAAGTCTAATTACAGAGACTTAGTTGGATAAGAAAACAAATAAAAATAACTGTGCTAAAAACTTCTGGTATCCAAAAACACCTTGGCTTTCTCCCTGATACTGTAGCCTTACAGGCTATAAGCACAGTGATAGATTTAGCTAATGCAGTTGAAACAACCACAGTAAATATGATTCCAAATGTTATCTGTCAGAGGATACAAGTGACTGTGTTTGTAAAGCCAATGAAGAGCAAGGAGCAGAGGAAAACAAAAAGAGAGATGTAGCTTAGAGTCTTGACTATGGGTGTGTGTACGTGCTTCACAAAGGCCACAAGAATCATGACTATATTAGTCGTTTTTCACACTGCTGATAAAGAACATACCTGGGACTGGATGATTTATAAAGGAAATGAGGCTTAATAGACACACAGTTCCACGTGACTGGGGAGGCCTCCCAATCATGGCTGAAGGTGAAAGGCTCGTCTTAACATGGTGACAGACAAGAGAAAATGAGAGCCAAGTAAAAGGGGAAACCTTTTTACAAAACAATCAGATCTCGTGAGGCTTATTCACTACCACGAAGACAGTGTGGGAGAAACCGAGATCATGATTCAATGATCTCCCACCGCATCCCTCTCAACACATGGGAATTATGTGGGGTTTTTCTGCAAGACTGAAGACGACTTCAATGACCGCTGCCAGCAAGTTAAAAAGCTGTCTCTGCTCGGAGGTGCCCTGCCCATGTTTGAGCTGGTGGAGCAGCAGCCTTCACATCTGGCCTGCCCGGATGTCCTGAACCTGTCCCTAGATTCTTCTGATGTAGAGCGACTGGAAAGATTCTTTGACTCAGAAGATGAAGACTTCGAAATCCTGTCCCTTTGAAAATCCTGGGGTCGGGGAATGGTGCCTGCGAGAGTCGGGCCCTGTCTCGGGTTCCCAGTGTCTCCGAGTTTCATCCATCCCGCCCACTCGCTTGCTGAGGGCCGCGCCCCGTGCCGCCGCCCCCCGGGGGCCACCCGCACTGCTCGTGGACTGAGGCCTTACTGCTTGGTGTCAGACTGCCCACCCCAGAGTGCCTGTCAGGGCCTGTGCATCCGCACCCGGAGCCGTCGGTTAGGAGCTTCCAGAGCGTTCTCGACATCGCCAGCCCCGCAGTCGCGCCTGGGCGTCAGTCCCATTTGCTCCCAGGCACCAGTTCTGTGGTTGGTTTGGAATTAAAGTCCTGTTTGAAGTTGTCAAAACCATATCAATGGCTGTGAGGACAGAGAAACAGAGAGCTATGCTGGCCAATGCTGCCCCCAGTACATCTTCAAAATCCAGGAGGTCACAAACTCTGTGAGGCAGCGATCTCTCTCACTGAGAGATGGCTGGTTTTCTGGGCATTTTGTACATTCACTGGAATCGGATTTTAAAAAATTGAAAGCTTATTGTCTCAGTTTTGAAATGCTTCCTTTTTTCACAGGACTAGACAATGATAGCATTAGTCATCTTAAAGCACACTCTCCATCTAGTCTCCATAGTTAACGCAATTATGAGATGCTACAAATGAACTAATTCCAGTTTAGCAAGTTTAGCAGTATTTATCCCTTGTCACTTATATGAAGAAAGATGATTTTTTTCTCCTCTTCAACATAGATGTGCGTGCTACTCCTATTTTTTCTCTGATGATGAGACCATTACAATCTTTTTTTTTTTTTTTTTTTTTTTTTTGAGACGGGGTTTCGCTCTTGTTACCCAGGCTGGAGTGCAATGGCGCGATCTCAGCTCACCGCAACCTCCGCCTCCTGGGGTCAGGCAATTCTCCTGCCTCAGCTTCCTGAGTAGCTGGGATTACAGGCACGCGCCACCATGCCCAGCTAATTTTTTGTATTTTTAGTAGAGACGGGGTTTCACCAAGTTGACCAGGATGGTCTCAATGGCTTGACCTCGTGATCCACCCGCCTCGGCCTCCCAAAGTGCTGGGATTACAGGTGTGAGCCACCGCGCCCGGCCTACAATCTTCAAGACATTTCAAATATCTATTTTCCAGGCTAAACCTTAAATTTATTCATTTATACAAGAAAGCTTTAACTGAGAACCTGTGGTGAGCCAGACCCTTAGTTGAATTCTAGACACATTGCAATGACCAAGGCATATTACTTTTTTTTTTTAATTAAAAAAAAAACACTCAAAATTCCATTAGGTTGGCCATGAGACATTAAGTCGCACTGGTCCAGAATTTGGGCATTGCTCATGATTTTTACTTCACACACACACACACACACACACACCACAACTAATACATCAGTGAATCCTCTTGACTCTCCCATCAAAATATTTCCTAATTCTAATCACTTCTTGTCATTTCCACTTGGCCATTCTGATCTAAGACAATGTAATCTCTATCAAGATTAACGTAATACACCCAAGTGGCCTTTCTAGCTCCAAATCCCTGAGTCAACTTCAGTCTATTTTGCACAAAACAGGCAGTTACTCTTTAAAAATCAAATCATTTAACTGCCATGCTCAAAGCTTTCTGATGGCTTTTAATTACACTTAAAATTAAATCAAAATCTTTACAATGTTTCTAAATCTCAGACCTCACCTCCTACCACAATTTCTTTCAACTGTATTTTCCAACCATCCACATTAGCTGCCTTGATTTACTTTCAACTTCACAAACTCCTGCCCCAAGGGCTTTGAACTTCTGGACCTTCTGTCTTGAATATTCTTTCCTCAGAATGCAACAAGATTCATTTGCCTACTGATAGTTTTGATATTTGTTCCCTTCATATCTCATTACGAAATTTGATCCCCAATGTTTAAGGCAGGGCCTAATGGGAGGTATTTGGATCGTAAGGGTGTTTTCTTCCTGGATGGCTTGGTGCCTTCCGTGCAGTAATGAGTGAGTTCTTGCTCCATTCGTTCATGAGAAAGCTGGCACTGTTCTACTGATCAGAACATTAAAATGTATTACATGAATGATCAAAGGAATGATAAATGAGGAAAAGAATGGCATTTTGTAGGTCTAACTCAAATCCTAACCAATTTTTTTTTATTAATGGGGAAGCTGAAGAACAGCTAGAAACAAATTGTTTGTTGACCTGTCTTATTGGAAATCTCACCCTCTAGGCACAATGCAGTTAAAAGAACACACAGCTTCTCCTTCCTATGGGGTTTTTCTAAATCCTGATCTATAGCTGTGGCTGTACACAGAGTAGGGAGCCTGAAGAAAAGAAACTGGGGGTATGTGTTCTTAAATATTTAGAATAGATGAATTATAAAATCCTGAAAAGTAATAATATTACATTAATTTAAATATGATGTGTAATACCTTTTAGAACTATCTGAAACATGCATACTAGAAAATAAAATTAAGTAGAAATGAAAGCGATGTTTTGACAAGAATAAAGTCACATTTTTGCATTAAAGGCAAATATCCAAATAATCTAAATTATGTCTGTACAAAATGGATAAGCAAAGTGATTGAAAGCCATATATTGATTAATTGTCCAAAGTATGTATAATGATGCTATCTCTAGTATGATAACAATTACAGTGTTACACATATGTGGGCACTCAAGACATTTTATTTTAAAAACTAGCCCAGACTACTGGAGATAATTAGATCAGATATGCAGAATACAAAATGCTTAGAATTGGTAGATAAATACAACAAAAGCTTATAAAAACGTAGCCTAGCTCCAATGATGTATGAGAAACCTCAGAAAAAATAAAAAGGAACAGAAACTCAGACAGGAAAGCTGCTCTGCAAGCACATGCTGTCCTCACAACATTTGCTAATTAAGATGATCAAGGTCATTTGGGTTTTAATGACCAAAACTGAGGAGACAGGAGACAAGACCTTATTAAGCCTGAGACAATCCATAGAGCTACAACCATTGAAGGCCCACTTTCATAGGTAAATGATCTTCTAGGAAAAAGAAAAAACAAATCTTCCTGCCAGTGAAAGGAGATAAGTTCTCAGCCTCAGTTTGGAATCTGGATGGCAAAAGAAAAATATGTCTCTTCTGAGAAATTTTTATTCAAAAACTTGTCTTCATACTGGTTTGGGATTCAATTTTAAATGTATTTGCATTGTCAAGGAAAACGTTAAGTGCCTAAATTAAATGTCTGATTATTAACAACTCAGGTGCTTGGATGAAACATAGACAACCCTATAAGAGGGATTAACCCTCAAAATATTTATTACTCACCATATAGTTATACAGATACTAAGACTGAATGAACATGTAAACCACACAATGAAGAGTCAACAAAATACAACCAGAAAACATTTCAGACCTTGTAATTTTCAGATACAGGATACAAAATAAGTATACGCTTAAACTCCTTAAGGAAACAAATCTCAATCTCATGTTGAATTGGAGGAGGGGCCTGGTGGGAGGTGACTGGATCATGGGGGTGGATTTCTCTCTTGCTGTTCAATGACAGTGGATGAGTTCTCATGAGATTTGATGGTTTAAACGTGTGTGGCACTCCCCTGTTTTCTCTCTGTCTCTTCTGTCACCATGTGAAGAAGGTTCTTGCTTCCCCTTCACCTTCTGCCATGACTGTAAGTTTCCTGAGGCCTCCCTGTCGTGCTTCCTGTTAAGCCTGTGGAACATGAATCCAATCCATATCACAATAATAATTTAAAATAGAGCTAGGAATAGAGCCACAAGATACACATCAGATCCATGTGATTTTATACTCAAATATCAGTGTTCAAGAAACAGTAAATTTTCATCTTTTAATAAATTAGAAAAAGACTTCTCAATTTAAAAAGCTAACATACCATTGATAACGAAACAAATCATAGATGGGAAAGTAAAATTAGAGAACATTTCCACTTAGGAATATGGATATAAATACTACAATCATGGATACATGACATTATAAATTTGTCAACACACATAAAACTCTGTAACACAGACTGAAACCTAAAGTATGGGTTTCAGCTAATAATAGTATATCAATGTTGGTTCACTGAACCCTAATGCAAAGTATGGATTTTAGTTAATAATGAAGTATCAATGCTGATTCATCAATTGTAACACATGCACCACCCTCACGAAGTGTTAATAAATAGAAACTATAGAGAAATGGGGAAAAGGGGAGGTATATATAAACTCTTTGTACTTTCTCTTCAAATTTTTAAAATCCTGACACCACTCTAAAAATAATGTATATTTAAAAAGTATGATCAATTTCAGTTTATCCTAGGGAAGCAAAAATAATTTAATGTGTATATATATATATACGCACACTCAAACATGTATATACACTTAATAAGCTATACTAACAAATTATCACAGAAAATCATATGCATTTTAATAGACACCAAACTAACTTGTAATTTATTTTAAAAAGTCTGAGTAATCTAAGAGTACAAGTAAAGTTATTATCAGAAATGTATAGAAAGCATCAAGGTAAAATATGAGAATTATTCCACTTGAAAGGGGTATGGTATGCATAAAGGTGAAAATTGAGTTCCTACAAAATAACATAAGGACTTGAAATAAAGACGTAAAACTTACTATTCAGTGTCAGTATCACTGACTATAATAACCAAGACAATTTTAATTTTAAGAATTAGGAAGATAATAGAAATCTAGAATATAAAAAAATATTATTTTTATGTAGAAATAAACACAAAACATTTAATTTTAGAAATATATTACTTAATGCACTTTTGTTACATGTGTAGTGATAAAATAATAAAATAAAATTTAAAAGAAATATATTATTTAATAAGATACAAAAATCTGAGAACCAATACCATATTGTAGTTAAAATCATGAATTTTGGCAGGAACTACTTTGGTTGAAATTGTGACTCATCACTAAGGGTGTCATGGTGAATAAGTTACTGAGCTTTTCTGTGCACTCCTTTCTTACCTAAAAAAACTACTAATGGGATCTGACTCATAGCAGTGTTCTGAGTAATATAATTGACACACATGAAGCTACTGAAACAATGCTTGGCACATAGTTAATGATTATTCACTACCATTATTACCATCACTGTTATTTTTATTACACAATTTAATGTTTGTTCTTTGTATGATAAGCAATGAATAAGAAATATTAAAAGGTAAAAGTTTGTATATGTGAGATATACATATCAACTACGTAGAGGGTTCAAATCAGGTGAAATTACCTGCATGAAACAACTCTATTCTGATATCCATACTCAGTAAAAAGCTATTGAAATTGTGACCAACTTCTGGAAAAAACAGTGGCCCATTTGATCTTTTCCTCATGCATGGAAAATCTTGACCACATGGATAACATGATTTCCTAGCTTCACTTGATGCTGGAGACCATCACGGAAATTACAATAATTCAGAATATTATACTGTGAAACAGAGTTTCTATTCTAATCCAGTACTTGGTCACCAGCACTGGTCATAAATTCAGTGGTCCTTAAGAGAGTAAGGCTAAAAGCGATGCATCAGGGAGTAATGATAATAAGAAAAGATGCATTATGTTATGAAGCATTAACTGAAGTGTCGTTCCTCCCTGATCCTTGAAGACAAAGCTCAAATTCAACTTTATACTTTGATGAAAATAAAGGCAAATGTGGTTTCAATTTTTTTTCTTTTTTACTTGTGTGTGTGTGTGTGTGTGTGTGTGTGTGTGTGTGTGTGTGTGATGGAGTCTCACTCTGTTGCCCAGGCTGGAGTGCAGTGGCGCCATTTCGGTGCCTCCCAGGTTCAAGCTATTCTCCTACCTCAGCCTCCCAAGTAGCTGGGACTACAGGTGCCCACCACCACACCTAGCTAACTTTTGTATTTTTAGTAGAGATGGGGTTTCACCATGTTGGTCAGGCTGGTCTTGAACTCCTGACCTCAGGTGATCCACCCACCTTGGCTTTCCAAACTGCTGAGATTGTATACAGGTGTGAGCCAGTGCACTCAACCACTTTCAAATTTTTGTTGACCAATTTAAAGGCAGTGTGTAAGAATTTTACTGAGTGTCTCTGAATATGAGTTTTTCTCAGACATAAAATAGAAATAGCAATTCATATCTCTTAATGTTATTTTGAATTAAATGAGAAAAATATAGTCATTTATGCTGGACACAAAGTAAAGGCTCAAAACTAATTTCTTTTCCCCAGTCATTTCTATACCAACAACATCAGAGGTTAAAAAAAAAAAATTAAGAGCACACTCGATATGGACCAGTTCATGCGCAAGAGGATCGAGGCGATCCGCGGGCAGATCCTGAGCAAGCTGAAGCTTACCAGACCCCCAGAAGACTATCCTGAGCCCGAGGAAGTCCCCCCGGAGGTGATTTCCATCTACAACAGCACCAGGGACTTGTCCAGGAGAAGGTGAGCCGGAGGCCTGCCACCTGCAAGCGCGAGAGGAGCGACGAGGAGTACTACGCCAAGGAGGTTTACAAAATAGACACGCCGCCCTTCTTCCCCTCCGAAAATGCCATCCCGCCCACTTTCTACAGACCCGACTTCAGAATTGTCCGATTTGATGTCTCAGCAATGGAGAAGAATGCTTCCAATTTGGTGAAAGCAGAGTTCAGAGTCTTTCGTTTGCAGAACCCAAAAGCCAGAGTGCCTGAACAACGGATCGAGCTGTATCAGATTCTCAAGTCCAAAGATTGAACATCTCTAACCCAGCGCTACATCAACAGCAAAGTTGTGAAAACAAGAGCAGAAGGCGAATGGTTCTCTTTTGATGTAACTGATGCTGTTCATGAATGGCTTCACCATAAAGACAGGAATCTGGGGTTTAAAATAAGCTTACACTGTCCCTGTTGTACTTTTGTACCATCTAATAATTACATCATCCCAAATAAAAGCGAAGAACTAGAAGCAAGATTTGCAGACTTGAGTCACAACAGACCAACCGGCGGAAGACGCGTGCTTTGGATGCAGCCTATTGCTTTAGAAATGTGCGGGGCAATTGCTGCCTACGCCCACTTTATATTGATTTCAAGAGGGCTCTTGGGTGGAAATGGATACACGAACCCAAAGGGTACAATCCCAACTTCTGTGCTGGAGCGTGCGCATATTTATGGAGTTCAGACACTCAGCACAGCAGGGTCCTGAGCTTATATAATACCATAAATCCAGAAGCATCTGCTTCTCCCTGCTGTGTGTCCCAAGATTTAGAACCCCTAACCATTCTCTACTACATCGGCAAAACATCCAAGATTGAAAAGCTTTCTAATATGATTGTAAAGTCTTGCACTACAAATGCATTTTTTATGATATTTGCCCTACTTGTGCTTTGTGTATTGTTCATTATTATGACATAAGCTACCTGGGTCCACTTGTCCTTTTTTTCTTTTACAAAAAAGATGGGTTCGAGTTCAGCCGTCTTCCTTCATCTTCTAAGCATCATTACTATGTCAGACGTCAACAAGCTTTTATGTTAGGAAAAGGAGAAATGCTATAGATACATAGAAAATTGAGGTCAAATGTTTTAGTTTTAGCAAGGATTTAGGAATCTAACTAAAACTCAGACGCTTGATTGAGTTAAGAAAGTTTTCTCTACCTTGGTGTAATCAATATTTTTATAAAATTCTATTGTTATTACAAAGCAGACACTTCATAGGAAACATCTTTTTCTTTAGTCAGGTTTTTAATATTCAGGGGGAAATTGAAAGATAGATATTTTAGTTGATTTTTCAAAAGGGAAAAAGTCCAGGTCAGCTTAAGTCATTTTGTGTATTTCACTGAAGTTAAGGTTTTCATAAATGTTCTGTCAAGGTGAAAAGGCACAAGCCAATTTTTCCTATGATCAAAAAATTCTTTCTTTCCTCTGTGTGAGAGTTATCTATAGCTGAGGCTAAAGTTTACCTTGCTTTAATAAATAATTTGCCACATCATTGCAGAAGAGGTATCTTCATTTGGGGTTTATAGAATATGTCAGTTTGTCACTTTTCCCTTATTTAGCTTTCAAATAAAAATTAATAGGTAAAGCAATGGAATATTTGCAGTTTCACCTAAAGAGCAGCATAAGGAGGTGAGAATCCAAAGTGAAGTTGTCTGATATGGTCTACTTCTTTTTTGGAATTTCCTGACCATTAATTAAAGATTGGATTTGCAAGTGTGAAAACTGGAAAAGCAAGAGACGGGATGCCACAATAGTAAACAGCCCTTGAGTTGGATGTAACCCAATCCCAGCTTTGAGTGTGTGTTGATTATTTCTTTTTTGTCTTCCACTTTTCTATTAATTATGTGTAAATCATTTTTACTTCTGCAGGTATTTTCCTCTCAGATAGGATGACATTTTGTTTTGTATTATTTTGTCTTTCCTCATGAATGCACTGATAAAATTTTAAAAGCTCTATTTTAAGATCTCTTGAATCTTTTTTTTTTAATTTGGGGGGTTCTATAAGATCTTTATTTCCCATAAGTAAATTTTGCTGTGGGAGGGGGGTGGAGGCGGGAAGGCAGGGGGGAAGTGGTAGTATGCAAGTGGGCAGCAATTTTTTTTGTGTTAATCAGCAGTACAATTTGATCAGTGGCATGGTTTGAAAAACGGAATATAAGATAAGCTGTTTTGTATTTTGATGACCAATTATACTGTATTTTAACACGATGTATGTCTGTTTTTGTGGTGCCCTAGTGGTAAATAAATTATTTCAATGATAAAAAAAATTAAATCAGATTGAAAATGAGTGTTGGTAATGTGGGACAAAAATTTAATCTTAGGTCAAATATGACAAGCTTTCTTCTACCCAGAGATACCTATGTGACGAACATTTACATACACGCGCACATACACACATGGAAACTGAAAACTCTCCGGACTATATATGGTTTCTTATTGTTAAAGCAAGTAGACATATACATATTCAGAATTTATATTCGGAAAATAAAATTTCAATGTGTTTTGCCTGAGTTATTATGCAAGTTTTGAGAAAATCGCAGTTATGACTCTGTATTTCAAGAATCCATGGGATCCAGGGCCTAGAATGCCCTAGTGGAAATCATTACCTACTATGGATGAAACACCAGTGCATCTGCGTTTTCCTCGTATCCCGCTGTGTTTCTAAAAGCAGCACTTACCGTAGCGCGTGGGCTGCACACGCAGCATCATAGGCGGACTTAATGAGATCAGACGCAATCCAGTCAAAGCAATGCACAGAACCCAAGGAAGCATTTCGTGGCCATCCTCCTTAGTGTTTCACAGTCAGAAGCAGAAAGGAAGCAATCCGAGGAAAAAAGCCACGGTTTATTTAGGGAAATGTCTTCTGAGTGTATGGAAGGACGAATTGTCTGAACAAAATGCTTCAAGCCAGGCATCGCACTGTTCTGCTTTGAAAAAGTCGGAGTCCCAGGCCAGGTGAGGTGGCTTATGCCTGCAATCCCAGCACTTTAGGAGGCTGAGGGGAGTGGATCACGAGGTCAGGAGATGGAGACAATCCTGGCTGACAGGGTGAAACCCTGTCTCTACTAAAAATACAAAAAAAAAAAAACTGGATGTGGTGGCACACGCCTGTAGTCCCATCTACTCAGGAGGCTGAGGAGGGAGAATTGCTTGAACCCAGGAGGCGGAGCTCGCAGTGAGCCGAGATCGAGTCACTGTGTTCCAGCCTGAGTGACAAAGCTAGATTTTGTCTCAAGGAAAAAAAAAAAAAAGATTTAGAAAAAGTGAGTCCCATGAAATGGATTCAGTGTGACACTCGTGACACTCTCCCCATTTCAAAGTCCCACTGGGAGGTAGTAACACAAGCTTTCCACATTTTCAAACTATTCAATCTCAGAATGTCCAGGAGGATTAGGGAGTCTGTCACCACAGACAACAGTCACATTTGTTGGTGGATCTTCAGTCTTGGCCAAGGTTATCCTACCTGCTGATGGCAGAACACCCTCCAAGACAATTCTCTGTAAAGCCTGAACAGATGCCTTCCCTGGGCACTTCTCTCAGTTCTAAGTAAAAATGCCCACCTTTCATGTCATCCAAGATAAGCAGCCCTACCAGGTGCAGCTAAAATGCTGCAACAGCTTCACCATGCCAAGGGGCAAAGATGATTCCTTGGGACCACCTGATACAGAGATGGAAACTGTCCTTCATCACTCGGCAAAGGGTATAACATCAAATGGGCATAACTAATCTTAGAAGAAAAGGAAAAACTCTATCCATTTGTATTGAGAAGTGATTTGAGGGAGAAGAGCACAATCAAACACAATGTATCAGGCACATCACTTTCTACTCCTAGAAGAAATTCACAGCTAGCAAGTAAATTACTAGAGAAATTGATAAATGTTTGTAAAGGCAAAATGCTCAGAGTTTTTCTTAATAAGAGTTAAAATTGTATTTAACTCATTCGTGAGAAAACCATCTGGAAGACAAAAGTCCTGATCTGTAGAACATTTGAAGAGCAAGGTTTCATATAGCCAGTGGTGAAAAAGGCAAGCTAAAATAAAATTTCTAAGAAACATATAAAACTGGTTAATATTATCTAGGGTAATAAAATTGTAAACAGGGTTACTTCTCTGCCAGCCTCCCCAACTCTCCCCAGAATCTTGGTTTACCAAATCTTTTTATAAGCTAATCTCCAAGTTTCTAGGGCTGTAAAAAGTCTAATTTTGACTATTAGTCAAGGGCACAACTCTGGAGAGAGTCAGGATGGTCAAGAATTTTTCACAGATATAGCAGTTAGATATAAAATCACGATAGTAAAGAATAAAGCAACGATTATTTCATCGTTTCAAAGTTGAAGATAACACATTCTCTTTTGGAAAGGCGAAGATTTACTTATTAAAATTTTTTAAATATATCATTTTCCTTTTGGGAAAAATTAACTGGAAAGTAATTATTCAGATATAGAGTTCCCAGAGACAGCCTGGCGGTGCCAGCCAGGGATGCCTCACTGCTGCCCATCTCATTCTGCCTCCTTCTTACCCCAAATAAACACTGACAGTTCAAGGACTTTCTGTCACCATTAGAAACATCAAAGACTGTCTGAGCCACCTTTTGTCAACAGAGCAAAAGGTGGCTCAGATGTCTTGTAATAACAGCAAAGGACATTCAGTGTTATCTCTGACCCACTCCATCCTGTCTCACCTGTGGGAATTTGTAGAGTTCCAGCAACGTCTCCAACTGAAGAACAAATGCTGATATAGTTCCTTCCATCGCTGCCATGGACTTGCTGTGCCTCTCACAGGTGTAATTGGTAAGGTTCTTGGTCCCTCCTGACAGCCAAAACAGAGGGCCCTTCAAATTCTCAGATCAATGTGGTGGGCATTGTAAACATACTGTCTCAAAGACATGTTGAGTAACGAGTTCAAACACCAAAGGAGAGTCAAAATGCATGTATACAGGATCAACTCTCACACCTCCCACTCAAGACCTCACAAAAGCCATCTCCAACCTGACCTGAGCATGTGAAAATGAGGTACACAGGACTCAAAGAGCCCTGAATTTGCTGAATGCCAGAGGATAAATCAGTATGCAAAGAGAGTACAATTTAAGAGCTGCAAATTAATGCTGAGTTGGATTTCCAAAGGAGTCATTAAGTGGCAGGACTTCAAGGCATTTATTCACTTTGTTTACCAAGAAACTAAGGAGTGGCTGAAATAGAAACTGAAATAGACAGTGGGCATAGGATAAGAAAGGATATTGAGGAGAAAAGATCAGGTCCATATAAGAGGTCAGGCGGACAAGGAATCTGACAAGGGCAGGTAAGAAAGGAGAATGTGTTTTGGAGGAAACAGGCCTCACTCATTGGCTGGGTTGGGGATGCTTAAACATCTTTTGGTTGTGCCTCTTGGGTCAGAAAAAATAAATCCAGACTTTAGAGTCTTTAGGAAAGGGTCGGGGAAGCATGGCATTGTAGCGATTCTGGGAGAAGCATGAAGAGGAAGACTATGACTAACCACAAGCAAAGAAAATTCTAAAAGTATTGTGGCCTTTAAAAAACAAACTTATACCATCCAAACACCTCAGGCAGTGCTGCCAAGAGCTAAGCTCAATTTTTCTTCACTCTTTTTCTGACTCACAGACAGCCTCATTTGATGCTTAAAGGCCTCCCTTCCCCAAAGATGCAGGATATGCACAATTCCAACAAATGACCCAATAGAGCAAGGACTGCCTTCAGCTATGTTGTTATTTCCAATTTTCAGTGGAAAAAGCAAATTCTCAAATGTCTTAAAGAGGTAGAAGAGCTACAGGAGAGATTCGGGTGTCACATGAATTGCAGATTCTATGGTAGCCTACGTATAATATTGCGTGTGATATTCTCAAGGCCACTGCTAAGTACACATACATAGCCACACTTCACATGTTTTCTGAAAAAGCATAAATGCAAGAGAAATTCTAAGCTCAAATTTAAATGCAGTTCTGACTTTAATATTTTTTTGAAGCATAGAAAGAGAATATTCTAAGATCAAATTTAAATGCAGTTCTGACTTTAATATTTTTCTGAAGCATAGAAAGAGAATATTCTAAGATCAAATTTAAATGCAGTTCTGACTTCAAAGCTCGTCATTTCTTATATATCCTTTGACCTCCTTAGAAGCAGCAATTGTTAACTCCCTAGAGCTTGTTAGTCAGACAAAGCTACATTTACTAGACTTACAAGTACTCTTATTGAAGAAATAGTGAGTGTATTAGTCCATTCTCACATTGCTGTCAAGACATACCTGAAAGTGGGTATGTATGTATGTATGTATGTATGTATGGAGACGGTCTCAGTCTGTCGCCCAGCCTGGAGTGCAGTGGTGAGATCTCAGCTCACTGCAACCTCCACCTCCCGGGTTCAAGTGATTCTCCAGCCTCTGCCTCCCGAGTAGCTGGGATTACAGGTGCGTACCACCACGCCCAGCTAATTCCATGCCCGGCTCTCTTACTCCCAATGAGAATAAGAGAGCATACAGTCTGCACAAAGTCTTGGTGAAATAGCATGTCTCAAACTAGAAAAATTCGGCAGAGTGTTTATAGGGTTTCAGAGACTCAGCTGGGGTCAGCTGGGTGGCCAGGGTCCTACAAGGAACAGAACAAGTTGGGTAATCAGAGTTTATGGTGTAACAGCTGCAGGCTGTAGGAGCTGGCTAAGTCTTACAGCAAGCCTTAATAAAAAAGCTCTTCGTCTTAATACGTAAGTTGCTGAGTTGGTTCAGCCTTTTTTTTCCCCAGGAGCAGTTATTCTCTGCAACAAGCAGTTGTTGTTTTGACTTGTTCTTTCTCCATATTGTTCAGCAAGAATAAGAAAGTGTGCTTAGCACAGAGAGGGATAAAGTATGTTTAGCTCAAAAACTGTTGAACGTTATGACAGGGAAGCATGTTTGTAGTATTATTTAACACAGGAACAATAAATTATTTCCATATTTTTCGATTGACAATTGTAAAGATCAGAAATTTTTGTTTACCTGTGGAATAGATCAGTCAACATAGTGGCAAATGTTCACAGGTTATAGGACATGAAAGACATTAGCCTAAACCTAAAGAAACTGAACTTTAGCTGGTAAAAGATTCCAATTTTAAACCAAAGAAACTATTTTCACTTGAGTTCTCAAAAAAATACATAGAAAAGTAGAAATTACTGGGGTTTAGATGACAATATATTGAAGCTCAAAACAAACATAAAATTTAACTCCTAAAATGCACACACATAAAAAACTCACATGTGTACATGCAAATTCACACAAGTATA